CCCCCGCGCCCGCCGCCGCCGGCCCGGCCGCCGCCCCTGCCGCCGCCACGCGCGGCGGCCGCGGCCGCGGCTGCGATCGCGCCGTGGTTGGCCATCCCGATTTCCTGCAGGTTGGACACGCGCCCCACCGCCGCGGCGCACGCGTCGTGCGCGCGCCGCGCGGCGGCGTCGTCGAGCGCGTCAATCGCCCCGATCGCCAGCGCCGCGTGCTGCGGTTTGCAGAGTGACGGTTGGTTTCGGCAGAGGTCAACAACTTGCGAAGCAACAATGAGGTGAAACCGATCAACCAATCAGCGATTTTGGAAATGCGAGGGCTGAGCTCGGCCGTGCTTGACCCGGCCGCCAATAACAATGGGCGCGACGCGCCTGCCTCCTGCGCTCCCCTGCGCTTGCGTGGTGCCCAGTACCCCGCTGCTCTACTCCCATCCCCGCCCGACCCCACTCCAGATCGCGGCTCGCTGGCCAAACCCCGGAGCCCCAAACACCCAAATCAAGGGCCATGAGTTTGCGGGCAACGTGACCGCCCATGTGTTTGACTAAGGGACTCAGCAAACCGCCATACGGCGGTTTGGTAAGACCCACCCTCAGCGCGTACTCCGCCGCCGCCGCGGCCGCTGCCCGCAGCTCCGCCGCGGCCCCCGCCTCCGCGCCCTCCTCGACCTTTGCTATCCCGCTCATGGGCCGCAGGCGGAAGCTGTGGTCGGGGTCCGGCAGGGCGTCAATGGGAGCCACCTGGGGGCGTTCAGGCCGGACCGATGCGATCCGCAGGGGCGGTGTTATCAACTCATATGAACATGCAGGTATGATACGTGTATGTATGCAGTCGGGGGTCTTGCAAATGGAAGGCCGCCCAACGCCCAGGCGAGCCCGTGGGGCGCGAGCCCGGCTTGCGGCTGCCACCATGGCTGCCACCATGGCTGCCACCATGAGGGAATCCGAACTGTTGCTCCTCGGTCTCTTTCGAGGCGGTCTGCTGGCGCCTTCTGCGCACCTCCTCGGAAGACGACAGGCCCGCATCGCACCACACACACGTGCACGCGCGCACCCACACAGACGCGCACGCACGCACACAAACACACACCGCCGCGCACGGAAACAAGCCCCGCGACAGGCGGCCCCCCACCTTCTCTATCACGGCCACGAAGAAGCCGCCCGTGTCGTTGTGGTGGGGCAGGAACCGCATGCAGCGCTCAAGAGGCAGCGCGGCCTTCTCGGGGGATGGGAACATTGTGGGCGACAGCTTGTTGCCCACCACCGCGGCGTCGTCCCATGACTCATACCACTGGAACCTGTCGCGCACCTGGGTTGCGGGTGGGGGGGGGGGGTCCAGAGGAATTGTGACGTCGGGGTGTGGAGGTGTGAGAGAGCCGGCAGGGGAGGGGTCGTAGGGATGGGGACGGGCTGCCATGACACAGGCCGCGTGCACTTGAAAATTGCATGCTGCGTCGCCCCTGAACCCTTGAACCGTACATGTGTACGGATCTCCCACCCTCCCTCGCGTCCGCACGGCCCTCTACCGCCGCCCGCCCAGACCTCCCCTCCTTTGGCGCACCCCGACAAAGCCATCGTATCCCCCACAACACACACATACACGCGCACTCACACAAATCCACACACACACACACACATCCACACACACGCACACTCATCTCCACACACGCACACCCACATGCACACACACACACGCGCACACACGCGCGCACCTTCCAGGTCTTGAGCCCCGGCATGCGCTTGAGCTGCGGCAGCTGCGCGTCGACGTCCACCAGCCGCAGCGCGCCCCCGCACCGCACCAGCAGGTCGGCCACCACCGCCTCGTCCTCTATGGGGTTGAAGGTGCACGTGCTGTACACCATGCGGCCACCAACCTGTGTTTGAGGGGGGGGGTTGCATTGGGGCAGTCCGGGAGTGAGGGCGCCGGGCGCAAGTGCGCGGTTCGCGGGGTTGGTTGAGCGGGGGATGCAATGTGCCATGGGGGTTTGGCAGCGGCGCAAACGGCGGCCGTCGCTGGAAGCAGGGCGGCCTGCCAAGCGCAGGAAGGCGCAGGGAAGTGGGGATTTCAACAATGGTGTGCGCGTGGCGCGCATAATTACTAATGCTGTTGTGATGAAAAGCCGCACCTTGAGCAGGCGCGCCCCCTGCAGTGCGATCTTGAGCTGCATCATGTGCAGCCCGTTGCCGGCCGCCACGCCCCAGCGGTTCCAGATGTCGGGGGACTTGCGCATGGTGCCGTCGCCTGGGGCGGGGTTCAAGGGTTGAAGGTTTGACATTCAGGGTTCACCGTGACTGAGAAGGGGTTTGATATTAAGAGGGTGGGTGCGATTTGTATCGGGGGGTCGACAGGGTTGGCAGTGGCGACCAGAGAGCCACCACAAAGGAGGGGCAGGCTCGGGGCCGCAAGGAGCGACCACGCTGTTTCCCGTTTTGAAGGCGCGGGCGTGGGCGGCGCTTGCGCGTGTGACGTCACCATGACATCACTCACCGCTGCAGGGCACGTCCGCCAGGATCCGGTCAAACAGCAGCCGCGCCGGCTTCGCCCGCCGCCGCCGCCCGCCCCCGGCGCCCGCTGCCGCCGCCCCCTCCTCCCCCTCGCCGTCGCCCACGCCCTCCTCCTCGCCCGCCGCCTCCTCCCCTGCCGCCGCGTCAGCGTTGGCGTCGGCGGGGCCCGCTGCGGGGTCCAGCATGCGGGGGAACATCTCCCCGCTGTGGTTGGTGATCATCAGGCAGGGGCTGCACATGCGCTTGGTCTGGTGAGTCAGCAGGTTGCAGCGCTGGCCGTCCGCGTCGTTCGCCACCACAATGCCTGAGAGGGCCCCAGGGAGGTCAATTGCACGAGGACATCAGCGGAAGAACACTGTCGCAGGATCTTTTCAGAGACGAGGCGTCCACCACACCTCTGCTGTGCGATGCTCTCTTCCGCCCCCCCCCCCCCCACACACACACACACACAGGCGCAGTGCCCATGCTGCTGCGCGCCAGTGCGCCACCAAACGCGCTTCCAGCCAGTCCAATTTGGCCCCTTTGCTGGCCGGCTCCCTGCCCCAGCTGGTGCCCTTTCGCCTGGCGGCCCCGACTGCGCACCCTGCGGCGCCTGGCCGTGGCTGCTGCCCTGGTGCAGCATCTCCAGCAGCTGAAAGGTCTTGGACCCTGGGGCGGCGCACATGTCCAGGACCTGCGGAGGCGCCGGGGTTTTGGACATCCCAGGTGGCAGTCGCGGGGCTGTGCGCGCGATTGTGTGTGCGTGTGTGTGTGTGTACATGTGTGGGCGTATGCAGGTGTTGTGCAAGGGGGATGTGTGTACGTATGTGGGTGTGCTGGTGTTGTGCAAAGGCAGATGGTATCAATGTGAAGGCTGAAGCACGCATTGATTATACCTCTGCTGTCACAATAACATCAGTACGTCAAGGGAGCTCGACCCGACCCCCTCGCGCCCCAGCAGCCCTGACATCGCCACCCGCACCGACACCTCCTCACTGCATGCAGGGGCCGCCCCCATGCCGGCCCGCAGCCAGCACCCCCTCTCCCTGACCACGCACCCCTGCACCCTTCACACGCAAACCCCTCACAGGCGCCCGCTTCCTCACTGCCCCCCCC